AGAGCAGATACGTAGAACGCCATTCTGTTCAGTAACCAAAAAGAAATGGCCGGTCACTGTTCTGTGTCTGTATCTGGAATTATTCTTATACTTCCCTTAGCTGTTATAGACAAGATTGTTCCGGTCCAACAGTTGTTTCCTTGACCATTTACTTCCCAATATAGGCTTCTACTGAAAAAAAAAAAAATTATCACATTTAAAACAAACACCACTGTCACTTCCCCCCAAAAAACTGTCCTGCTCAGTAATATGGAGCAATACCTAGTCTATCTTATCTACCCTTCCCACAAAGAGAAATTACAAAGATTAGTAGTCTAGAACACAAGGGCTATTTAACTGGAATTATTTCTGTGATACAGATACCAGAATTATGTGGAAAAAAAACTGAAAATGGGCTACAAGTAAGTGAGAACAAGAGGAAAAAAGGAAAGGATAAAGAGGCTGAAGAAAAAAGTAGATATATATAAAAGAGAGAACAAAATAGAAGAGGGAAGAGAGGAACATGGTATGGTCTCTGCTGAGACCAAGCAGTACACCTTAAAACCACAGTTACAGTAAAGCTCATATTTGATAAACAATGCAGAAAAATTCCCTACTAGGGCTGATGCCTCTATTTGATAACTGCCAGTTTCAAACAAAGTGTGGTTAACAGGTTAAAATACTTGCTATTGTATTTTTCTTCTTTATGTGGCGCTAGTAAATTCTTATTTTCTGAATTTCTCCCGCACCTCTGCATTTCCTCCTGCCAGTTTGCATTCCCAGATCTCATACTTCTTCTGACTTCACTGTTTTCCTTCAGTGATTCTTCCAACCTGTGCTTCAAAAGCTCCCGCACAGGTCCTCTTGCTACTTTCTAGATTGCACATATGAGACGTTCTTACTTTTAATTGCAGAGACCTTGTAAGGGGAAGATGACAGTTCCACTGTAATACAGGGAGGTGGGATGTACACACAGATACATGACTTTTCTTAAGTTGAAGCAATTGAACAGACAAGTTCAGTCAGCATAGCTCCTGAATAGATCCGTTTCCAGGGTAACTCAATGTATACTGCATAGATTCATCAGGTTGTAAGTGTCACTGCCCTGGCTGAACAAAGCAGCCACACAAAGAGTAGCTTACTCTGCACTACTGTGTACTACACAACTCTAATGTTTGAGCGTCCGCCTGAAGAAAGAGAGTTAAAGATAAAAGGAAGCAAGCTGTGCATAGAGACAACTGGCCTCAAACACTTCCACCTTCACACAAAAATCTTTTTCTCCATTCTCTTTCAAGATTGGTATAAAGAAAAAACAGGTGCAAGGAAACTAGGATATTATCTGCTTAATGCATGAATTAAAGTTAAACAACATTGGTATTCATGCAGTGATGAGTACCAGGAACTTTCTGTGATCTCTGTATCTTGTTATTACAAAAGAAACTGCTTCATTTCAATCACTTTCAAATAGCAAATCCCTACATCCAAGGACAGAATGGGCCATCAGAAATATTCCTGTTAGTAATGCAGAGTTCTCAAAAAAGGCATCGTTTCCTCTCTCAAGGAAAACCTAATTCAAGCGTCGTTCAACTGGCCTTTCCACTGCAGTATATTAATTAAGACAAGTTCATCTGAGTGTCACTTAGTGTCCGAGAGCAGAGAAGGAAGTAGTGGTAGTAGAAACAATAGTCTTTATCAGAACATATTTTTAGGGTCTAACAAACACGCAAGACATCTTAGAAATATTTCCTGTTTACACAGAGCTGTACTATCTGTGTGCAATGATACACTGCACATCCTGAGGTTAGCTAGCAATCAGAAATATATGGAAGTTAAATAAGGCTACGCTGGACAACATTCCCTGGTAGACATATTTCCTATTTTAAAATAAATTCTCTAACAGCAGGGAATTACAAAAGTTACCCTTAGATGGAAAAGATTTGATAGCAAATTTATATTAAAACACAAAGTACAATGTAGCAGATCTTTCACAAAGACAAAAAGACATCTCAAATCATACTGTGAAAAAGTGAATTTAGAAGAACCTGTTCTTAAAAAGTAAGAAAGCAATTTAAGTGGCTTAAGCATCTTTACAAGGAAAATGTCAAAACCTCCTCAGTGGGCAAGGGGGGACAGAAAATCCAAACCAGAAGTCCATTTACTACTGGATTCATTTAAACAGGAAAAAAAAAATTAGATGAAACTGCATTGTCCAAAAGAGAAACAGTACTTGTCCTTGCCCTTCTTTTCCAGTCCAAAGCCCTGCCGCGTATGTTATTACTGACATATTTCCATTCTAAAATACTGTTGTATCTGCACATTAAACATGACCAAAGTTTCTTGGAGAAAGGTTACCATGCACGAATTAATCCTCCCCACCCAAACCAATGTGTTCATTCTCAAGTTAACAGAGGCCATGTAGAACACTTCACTCCCAGGATTTATTTTAGTGGTACATGAAACGAAAACACATGAGTATAAAAACATTTCCAGTGATTGTAACATCCAATTAAAGGTGTTTTAAGAAAGATAAATTTCATCAGAAATTGCATCACTACAGGTCATGGAATAGTTTGAAAAGCTACCATAGGTAACAGTAGTAAACAAAAATGCTACTGTGTGCATAATACTTAAGAAAGAAGTATACAGTTCTGTGCAGCATCCTACTAACACACAAGCAGATTCAATCACAGCTGCTGTGGGCATTTTCAGTGAAGTCCCATGGTTCACAGGATTAGTTTACAAAACGCAGCTTCTACGTCCAGTGATTGAGAGGGTTATCCGCTCTCGTACAACACTAAGGATCTTGAGTTTCTTGCCCACGTAAAGCGGCTGTGTGGCTCCCCCTCTGAGCTGCTCATGAACAGCAGATGCACCCTGATCAGAAGAAACTGGATCTTGGTCCACAATAAATCGCCAGCTGTGGTCTGGAATTCAAAGACCACTGTTCTTTGAGCTCTCCACAGAATCTCCTTGCATGGAGTACGGTAATACAGTTACACAAGTAAAATCAGAAACAGAGTACAACTCAAGAACTGCAAGCTCTTTGCAATTCAGTAGGGGTTCGTCTGATGCCCTAATTGCCATGAAAAGTCACATATCTGAAAGATTTAGTGCAAAACAAATTCTTGTAAGACCGGTACAGATGTGAAAACTGTGTCTAATATTGTTCCAAAGTGTAATAGGAATGTACAAACTGTAAACCTCAAGGCAGTTTTAATCCATGCAACGAACACAGTATCCTCTGAACCTGCTATCGCTACTTACAACTGGAAACAGTTCCCAACACCAAGCATTAAGCTGGGATACAGCTAAATAAAATTTACAGAGGCCAGGTGTTCTTAAACCCCATACTGCTATCTAACCAGTTAACCTATGTTACAGTTTCCACAGTATACAAAGACACCAGGACCCCAGAAGATTTTATACAGTGAATGATATAAGCAAGTAACTGCAAAACAAATGTCATATCAAGGTGTTAACTTTCTATCTCAAAAGAATCCTGAAAAAACTAAGGCTTTGAGAAAAAGAGCAAAAAGGAATCCATTCCATTCTGAAGCAATATTCCAGCATAAACACACCAACATCCTTTGCTTTGCTCTTCCACTTGAACCAAATTTGCTCTTTTCCATCCATAACCAACATGACAGTGATTAGTAACTCACTTTACTTACCATACACAGTAGGTAGTTCGAAGCTGTGTATCTAGAACACGGGAGACTCACAAGTGCTCTTTTCCGGCACTGCAGTCTGAGATTCTGTGGAATGTTGGTGCCTCTTCCAAGCCTTTCCAAACAGCTCCATTTCCTCATCAAGAAACAAAACCATTTCTGAAGCTAACTACCTTTCAGGTTTTTAAAGATACATGACGTTTCTTATTCCATCTCCACCCTCAAGTGCATGGGATACATTAAGGTCTAAGCTTAATTAAGGTTAAGAAAAACAGAAGTTTTGCAGACCAATTGCTATAAATTGAATAGATTTACAATTTTGGTAGCATGGATTATGAACTTGTTCCACTGTAATTCTCCATTTATAATTCCCATCATCTCTGCAGTAAATGTAGCAATTATGTGGCAGGATGATATCAGGAAGTACTTAAATATGGCTTTAGCTTCCTAAATCCAATATGACAACAGAAAACAATCAGGGTTAGTACCATGATCACTGCCAACAAGTGCTTCATGAGCTGTGGTCTGCTCACCTATGCTAAAGCATTTCTCAACTTAAACAATTTCTTTCAGAAATTGTGGGATCCTGGTTAACTCTGAGCCAGGGACTAGTGTAAAAGTGGTTTTATCTTACTTTTTTTAAATCAGAGGGAGAAATGCAATAGGCAAATTGCTAATTTATTTTCTAAAAGAAGAATAAAAAAAATCAGGAGAAGTGTGTTTTGATAAAGGTATCTCAATTTGGAAAAATCAGAAATGGAAAATCCTACAAAAAGTTACTAGTAAGGCAGGAAGAAAAGGGATCTGCTACCAAAGGAGAATGTATACATTCCAAAGATTTTGTTTTCATGTGACTTGTTGCCACATGTGTTTCCCAAAAGGTAATTAGCTTACATTTTGAAGTCAAATAAAATTTTAAAACAAGCAAACTAGCTGTATCTAATAAATAATTTTTAAATAACTTCATTTAAACTCAAAATTTGGAAATCAACGATTCAGTGGTTACAGCATCGTAAATAAAATATCCTCTACAAAAAAGGAGGAAGCCTAAAAACCTATTACAGATCGCAACTTACTTAGGTTAAATCATTGTATTAGAAATGTCTATCACCTTAAAACATACAGCATTCATTAGGTGCTATTTTTACAGTTTGCATCCAGTGCAAGAGAGTTACTCCTCCCGTAACAATAAAAATATCTGTTTCCACAACAAATTATCTTCTATGAGCTTACAAAGTTTCTGAACGATCCTACCTGTCTTTCTTGCACTTCTAAGAGTAAAAGCTTATAATCACTAAGACATAAAGAATCATCTGACTCCTGAATCAGGACTACTAAATGCTCTTTCTGCCTTCAGAACTCATTATGCGATTCCAGATTGTCAGGTTTCTGCATCCAACTGTTCTCTTCCTGTGTCAGATCCTTTTCCATTAATGTTCTATTAGGCTGAACCTAGAAGAAAGACAGTAGTTAAAAAACAAATTAACACATTCAGAAACACTGTGTTGTTCTATACTATCAATATACCATTATATAAAGATGTCTTACATACTTGCTAGAAACAGAAAATTAGAAGTGACGCATCTATCCAGTAGTTATGAAATAATAATAAAAAAATAGTAAAAAACCACTAAACTGATATCAAAACATTAAGTGTCATGCAAAAAGAAAGGCATACGGTGTGTTGTATCCACATAAAAAATGACAACCATCCTGCAGAGTTTGTGGTAGATATGAAGCTCAGAGACAACTGAAAAACCAGACTCTGCAACATTTCTTACCAATATAGAAAGAAAAATATGAACAGTATCACTGAGATGTACCAGCCAGCCCAGCAACTTCCATTACTGTATCCCCCAAGGTAATGGAGTTTCACAGCCTTCTAAAACCCCTTCATCCAACAACAATGCAGAACTTCCACTTCAAACATTCTACAACACATTATTACAGCCATGACAGCATGGAAAATTATACACAAACAAAATGATTTTGGCAAAAAGTGCTTGTGTAGAAGCAGCAAAGCTTGGTCGCTTCACCTAGTCTGTGCAGGTTAAGTCATCCTTTCAGAAATTAAACAAAGCAGCCTGTTAAACAAATAACTTGAGTTCCAGTTGTCCTATCTTTCCCAAATTCAAATGACTAAATGTACAGGAAGCACTTCTGTGCAAATCTACCGCAGAACGGAGCACAAAGAGCTCACTTACAATCTGTCAGAAACTTGGCAGCGTTTAAATTGAGTTGAGTTCTCATCTTTACAGGAACTAGGGACCTAACTCACAGAGCCTGAAGTTCCAAAAATGAAAGCTGAGAGAGAGAAAAAAACTCTTATTTCATTACAACAACATGTTGCAAAAATAGCTACTCGGAGTCTTTTAGCATACCAGCAAATTCTTTTATGGGGTGTTAGCCAGCATGTATCCTTTTTGCAATTACTTCTGCTACCACCTCCCCCAGGATTAATATAGCTGCACACACCTCTGTTCAGACGCATATGAAAGCAGAAGAAATAAAAATCACATCAACATTAATCAAAGCTTCTAAATGTATTACCTGAAAAGGCTGGCTGATACCAACTATTGACTGCAAATTATTGCTATAATAACAAAGCAAAAATTCTCCTCCCATATCAGGAATTTCTGCAGCACTCATGTAAACCTGTCAACAAGAATAAGAACAGGCAATGGGCAATTTCCACAGAGAAAGAAGCTTACAAAAAAGTAGTCTCTGCCATTCAGGACACAATAAAATTTGGTATTCGCTATTTATAAGCAAATTTTTAAACGCATGCTAAAAAAGATGAGGACAGAAATAACTCATGAAACCATCTGAAAAGTAAGTCAGGGAGGAAAAGCAAATATCCTTCATCATGTCAGCAAGCTGAGTTGGTTCAGCAAGAAGTGAGAAGAAACCCAGCTGTTGCAAGGGAAGGGGCAAGGGCACACAAGCAGCAAGGAGGGAGATGACCTGCCTCCTGGTGGCAATAAGCTCTTACATGAAACAGCAGAGCAAACCCACCACCTCGGGTTTGCACTGTCCTAGAGATCCTAAACTGCAGCCCACACTATCCTGCTTAAACAACGCTCATAGTGCTTAGATTTTTAAGTTTAGTGATAGGAAAGCATGATATCAGAGAAATTTGTGATTTGGAATATTGATACAATACAATTTGGGCTCTTGCTGTAAACTTGGTGCTAACTTACATCATCTCTAACAACAAGTAACTGCTTTCCATTGCTGTCTGGAAAGTCTCATCCATCCTTCCACTCACTGTGTCTCCAAAATTAAATTTGAATTTCTGCTTGTTCAGATAAATACCTCTGGAAACAGATCATTCATATTCAAAATAAGTTTTGTTTGTTTGTTTGAAATCATTTTAGGTAATCACTACTAGAAAGCTATGTAACAAACAGCAGTTTTTAAAGAGGGACCAAAACACTCAATAGTCAAAACGAAGAAAAGAAACCCTAATATGTAGCTGTATTAGATATGTGGAACTAATTGTGTTAGTAACATTAGGTACTTACAACTGTAACAAAAATCACACAATAAATATTTAGGATACACTGAGCAACTTTGACAATCAGATGAAAAAATGGCCAGTTACTTATTTCAGTGGCAGAAAGAGACCAAAATATAAAATGACAGTAGTTTTTAATACAATGAAAAGTCACTACAGGAATAAAATGCTTTTTCATCAATTCCCTTAAGCAACATGATCACACCTGAGAAGGTGTGCTAGACTACCTGAAGATTAATAAGAATTAGGAAAAGGGATTTTAAACAATAATAGCACTCCCCATTAGCTTCAACTGGGAAAGAGGATACAGAACCCGTAAGAGGAAGGGCATATGGAACAAACAGACCTTGAATGCCACACTATGGAAAACTACATCAGAAAGAAATATAATTGGCTTACTTGTTTACTGTCTTTGTTAGAAGAAATTTCATCATCTTCTACCCAAGCATAAGTAACATAGTCATTAACATGCCTGAAAGCCACCTGCAAAGAAAGATGCAAACCATCAGCCTTCCGAAGGAAACAAAAACCATAGTACATGGAAAAGTCAAAGTTGTGAGAGAGATGTTTACTACTTCACTGAAGTAATTAAAACACTTCACATTTTGGGGGCATGCGCAAATCTTTTGTTTCTGAGAGGGTGCGAGCGCTCTGTTCTCTCACCCTTCCACTGACTTTTAATTTTGTTCTTTCTTTGCTGTATAAATCTTTTGAACAGCAGGCCAATTAACAGCAGGACAATTCCCTTTCACAGCTTCTGCACCATTTTACTTAAATAAATCACCACATTATCTTAGCAGAGAATTTAAAGGGTGTGAAAGAGCTCGGATGCTATGCAACTAAACTGTCGGCACACAGAAACTAAGGGCAATCAAGGATGCACGACTATTTCAGAGAGTTTTGCACTAGCAAGAATCACACTGTCCTGTGACAGAAGACTATCAACTACCTCCTCCAGTCATATTCACCACCTTCATTAAAGAGCCATGATGCAGTAACATTACCTTGAAGAGTCCAATCCAGTCCCAAGCACTGCTTGGGAATTCAGGCACTGCAGAATAGCTGATTAGAACGTCATGTTCTGCGCTCCACTCACCCTCAGGATGCAGCGTGACCAAAGGATCTGATAGAAGAGGCTTCAACTAGACAAAAGAACAGATTTTAAAGTCAGTCAAGTCTGTCATTCTTTCATTCTTTCAGTTATTCTTTTCAAGTTATTCTCTGCCACACCTGCTGTGGGACTCTTAACTGAATGGCAATAACCTGAAAGCAATTTGCTGCTTTCACTATAATCAGAATGAAACAGAGATTATGACCTACAAAGTTTAGAAAACCAGCTTCTCTAAGGCAAGTCTTAGTAAAACAAACTTTTTCTTAACAACAGAACTAGGACAGCACCTCAAGCCCAAAAGTTCCTGTAACAGGTTTGTGATCGCTGATGCCATAGCTCATGTGGCTGATATAGTTATTCAAAGTAACAGAAATTGTCTGTTCTTCTTCAGAGAATTCGCCTTCTTTTGATGCATGCCGGCAGAGACTTTTCACTCTCCAAAGAATTCTATCGGTCCACGCTGGCTTTCTTTTCTTCTCACTGCAAAAGTGTAAGATAAAAGTGAAATGAGAAGAAAAAACAGTTGCCAAAAGCTAAGAATACTGTGCAAAATCTACTCAAAGTTTAAAGACTGTCAGATACATATTAATAAAAGAAGGCAATCGCATCCAAGCTTCATTTTACAGCTCTGTTCAATATGCTTTACAACCAAGGTTTCCTTAATTTGAACTCAACTCCATTTACCACAGGTAAGTTTCATAGGTTTCTGAGAGGAGTAAAATGAAGGGGAGAAGGGCATTTCAATGGGTTAGTCAGCTTCGTACAGGAAATGATACTTTCTCCTAAAACATAAAAACATGCAAGAAAATTGAGATAACAGAGCAACTGCCCCAAGCTTCAAATGTATACTCATTCTGAGAAAAGGGGCATAAACTTAAGGAAGATATAGGAAGAGTCCGAATGATGTTTGAAATTATTCAAAACATTTGAGAACAAGTTTCTCCTAACAACAAAAAATGGACAAACTTAGGTAGCTTATACTAATCACAGGTGAGACAGCAATGCTTTATTTAAAGTTCCTCTAATGTGTGCTAGCCTGTATTTCAAGTCTGTAAGCTATTGCTGTCTCATAAAAAAGGCTTTAAAAATTCCATAATCAAGAAAGTTGCGTCTGCAACTGTGCAATACATCAAACTGTAATCATAATTCAGAGTTTCCTTTTATACCATATCAATAACAACAGAAGACATGAGCCTTTCGTGGTTCTCTCTGTAGTGGGAGGAAGACTTAACAGCAACTCTCTGTATGGATGTATCACTTCAAATTGAAATGGAGAAAAGATCATACCCTATGGAAGACGAATTAGAATGGACTGGATTGAATTATAAAAGTTAATGAGCAGGATGTGTAAGGAAAACTGTCAGTTTAATAACTTTGCATATCAAAATCATCATAAACTGGAAATGCCATTTAGTTCAATATTCAACATACTTTTGTTTTATCCCTTCCCATATACAAGTCTGACTTGCCTTTAATAAGGTGGAAAGATTTTAAATGACTAAGGGGCCATATCCCACTTACTCCAGTAATTATATAAACCGACAGAAATCTTTATGAGCTGCCATATGTCTGCTCTGCTGTGCAAGAAAATACCAAAAGAACAGTTTAAGTTAATACACTCACTATTTTACAGAAAACGGCATATTAGATGGGAAACAAAACCTCAAAATCCACATTCAAAAAGTATCAAAGATAACAAAATACCGCGTGCTCCACGTAAAGCACACTTTTCAAGGATGGGTGTCTTGAGGTCTACTGATCACCCCCCATCCATCTCTGCTAGCTTTAACAGCAGAATGCACACAGTATGCATAAGCATACTTTTTGCTCTTTAAATGAGCCAAAACTAAGCTATGAATCATTCTTAGAAAGTCTAGGTTTGGATTCTTATAAATATTTTTTGTTAACTGGATTTACTGATGGTCCCATTATATCTCTTCACACTCAATTAGGGAGCAAAATGTCTTTCGAGCCAAATGAATAAACTTCCAATATTAAGTGCAACAGCAGAGTAGATAACACAACAGCTTTCAGACAGGTTCAGAAAATCCCTGAAGAAAATCAGCTGTCATCTGATTTTCAAATATTTCATAAAAATCAAATCAAAAGCTCGGGAAGGAGCATTGTTTTGATTCTGAAATATTTACAAATCTATGAAATCCAGAAAGTTCTCTTCTTACTTAAACCAAAACAGGGACTTCTGCTCTCTGGAAGTAAAGAAAAAGATCAGTACAAAACCCCTATTTAGACAGGAACTTATCCTTCTGTCGAAACATAAGACTAATACTTAACAACAAACTTTAGTGTCAGAGAAAAACTCTGGAAACTTAAGATACTCCATTTTCAAGTTAAAAAAAAAAATCTATAAGGACACATTTACATTTATTTTCAAATACCAGCAGTATCAAATGGAATGCTTAAACAGAGAATGAAAACAAAAATTGCAATTACTTTTTTCCTTTTGCTTATTTCTGAGAACCAATGGGCACTTTTAGTATTAAAGAACAAAGAAGTGGCTTAAACAAGCATTGGTTTATTCTGCTAATGTGGTCTTTCAAAAAAAAAAAAAAATCCACCTGGGTTGTTTCACTACTTTCCTCATGCAATCAGCAGATTCAGGCTTCTTCAGTCAGAAATATTAATTTATTCAAATTTGACCACTGAATGAGCCTAACAGAATAGCACAATAGCCCCAGTTAACCAGTACATTCAGGAAATTCAGGTTTACTTACTAAAGTGATATTTAGTCAAGCACCACATTCACTCTAATATTCCACGTCTAAACTCATCTTACTATGCTTTTACCTTGTATCATATACATCCGAATAAAGGTCAAACTTGTAGGTGGGTTTAAACTGCAGGGGACCCTCTATGAATTCCTGAAGAAATGTTTCCTTCTTTTTTGCCATATTTAACTGCAGAAATAAAAAGTAACTTTTTAAGATTATGTTTAAAAATCAGAGCTTAAAGGGCATCCGGGAAAGGAGCTGAGAAAGCATCTTCCAAGAAGAATTCAACATCTCAGTCAGTACAACATATTTGGAAAGTGCCTCAGAAGTGCCTCTTTGTGACTGCCAGAAATCTTGACACAATCTGTTTTAAAAGTTTTGTAGAAGTTCTACTCAAAACAAATTCCAGAATAAGCTTCTCTTAAAAATAATTCTTGGGAGAGGAAAAAAGGAGGAGAAATTAAGGTGAGGAACAATTCACAAGCCATGAAGTTCAAAGAAAGCTTCGGTCAAACGCAAGCATTGCAAATGAGTAAGAAACTACACAAAAGCAGAAAAAGTTTGCAGTTAATTGGGACCGAGAAGTGAGAGAGCAAAGAGCTAAATCTGTTTCACCTCATGACTACACTGAATATGTGTTCTCCAACAGAAATTAGAAACTCAAGAGGTAATGTTAACTACTGTGTTGTGTTTGTATGTATTAAAAACAAAACAAACAAAACTCCCAAGCAGATTAAGACAACATACCTGGTCCTTTTCCCACAGCAGATTGTAACGCTTGTTATTTATTGATTCTCGGACAAAGTGTATGCCATAATCTGCTATCCGGAAGTTTAGATCTCCAAACCAGAAGAGAACACTTTAAAAAAAAAAAAAAAGAAGGCAAAAAACCCAAGGAAGATTTATAGGAATCCATTAACACAAGGGAAGAATTCAATAGAATATAAGCCATTACGCTAATTAGGCGCTCTAATCACTTATATTACTTAATCTAAACAGCTTAAACAGAAACTTTAAGTAGTTACAGATAAGCTTACACAGGGATAACCTGCTGCTAAAAAAAATTTAAAGGAATTGCAATAATAAATTAAGTCTCCCTTGCATTCTTGCCGCTTGCTCATTACTGCCTGGGTATTAACTTATCCTGAGTCTCCTAACGACTTACATCTCTATTAGAGACAGATTTAGAATTAAATTTTAACAGTAGATAAAATAATTCACAAAATTCATGACCATACACCAGTTGGTTATGTTAATCCACTAACCCAGAGCTCTGGTTTAGTGCCTTGGGAAAGCAGGGATACATATTGGGTGTTCTATCGTTATTAGCAAAGAAAGTTATTATTATGAAGCACTGGAGTGTATTACCAGCAATGTTTTAAACAACAGGAAAGCTGTCTTTTCAAGTGAATTAAATTCTCTTTGAAAATCCCTACTTACAACGTTTTGTTCAGGGGTGGATACCCCAGACTTGATCTTATGGAAACAAAACTTTTATTTTAATGCCATTTGTAATTTCTTCTTAGAAGATGACAGTAGGTGATTTGGTACATGCCCATGCACATAATCAAGAAAATGAAACGCATTAAATTGAAATATCAAACAGTTATACTAAGGTAGGAAAAGTAATGATTTTGAAACTCGTGTGTCATACACTTTTACCTAATTTTAATGAACTCATTAACAATTAAAGTGATATTACATATCTATTCCAGATTTATCTGTCCTGGCAGTTTTATGGGTATTAAAAAAAAAAAACCACCACCAAACTAAAATGTTTTTCTCAACCCTTTTTTAAGTGGTTCTATTACCATCTTTAGGCTCCAGCACATGAAAACAATGTAACATACAAATAATTCCCAACAGAATTAAGGAACAACAGCTCAATTAGTGGTCAAAATCAGGTTTGTTTTGGGGTTTTTGTTGGTGTGACACCATATATTTCATATAGCTATGGAAATCATCAATCAAGGTTTTAAAGGCTGAGAAGCCCTCAGCCAGTACTAAAATATCACAACAGGAATAAAACAGGCCCAAAACATAACACAAATCTCCCCAGAAAAGGGAGGAAGATAAACATTTAATAGTGATCTAAAGGATTTTTGATATAAGCAGGCTTTAGCTTCTAAAGCTCTCCAGCACATCACATGTGCAGTACATATGCTAACAAATTTAATGTCATTTAAGACTGGAAGAGAACAGTCTTGCAAGATAGACCTCCATCTCTCAGGTTATCTTTTCCTCCCAGTATTCAGGGTCAAGGCTGAAAAGACATTTAACATAGAAGTGATGGATGAAAACTCCAAAACCAAACCCCTTCAGTGCATGAGTTTACCATATAACAGATAAAAACAATACAGACAGAATAGGGTCTGAACAACTCACTCATGATCCAAGGTACTTGGAATATTCTCTCCTTCAAACTGCATTTCCAGAATTTTCTCAAAGTCATCCAAGCGCTGCTCCGTGTTCTCCATGTGAGCTGGCAAGTGGCAGTTCATGAAACAAATCGTATGACCGTAGAGGGACATGCGAATGGTGACTCCTCCTTTATTCCCCTGGTATGGAATATTAACAATGTTCTCTGAAACTATAGTCAACACCTGCGAACGTAACTATTAACACTACCTATGAATTTTTAAATCTTGCCGTTTAGATTTAAATGAATACAATTTCTTCCTACATAAGTTGTTGTGTATCAGCTAATAAACTGATAAAATTACGGTCTGTGCTGCACACTTGCATACAAGGTTCAAACAAGTGAGCCTCAGTGCTTGTCAGTTTATTCATTTTTAAGTAAAACGTATATCCTTTCTCCCACCATGAAACTATTTAGAGGCACACACCACCATAAGCATAAGGAGCCAAGGCAATCAAGTCTCAGATACTTCCTTACCCAGTATCCATACAAGCCTGTGCGTGTGTAGTGGGTATGAATGTCCCGTATGAAAGGAAGGTGGACGTGCTTCACAAAGATCAGAAGTAGTAGTCCCTGCATGCGAACGGAGGAGAGCTGGAAGAGATATGAAAGAGGGAATGGTCATTTCCAGGGAGGTATTTGGAATTCCTTGGGTCTACTTCATAGGAGATTTTAGGTGAAGAATACCACAGCAGAAGTCATGCAATTCCCTCGCCAAGCCTGGCTTCAATGCTGTGACACAGTGAATGCAGACACATTTCAGTGCTGTAAAGAATACATTCTTATGGTAGACTTACTTATAAACAATTTTGATGAATCTCTCATCTGATTAACATTAGTTGTAACATTATACTACACATCTGAAGTTGACCTCAAAATGTGTGTATTTGCCCAGACATTTTTTTAAAGACCTTCCTTCTGCCTTGCCAGCCTCGTTTCTACCTTTAAGCATCCTGTTCATGAAGAACCTGATTTTTCACCTATAATGTTAATAGTGCACACCTACAAGTCCTCCAACAGGAGCAAGTTTTTCAAACTGAAACATCCTTCAGCATATAACTTATTATTCTAAATGCCATTAAAATGCCTAAAAAGCACAGCAGTTACTCCTAGGCATTTGCAAAAACAATGAGCTGCAAAGAGCAGTGACTCTTGCCTGCAATGCCTGTAAAAACTGATTTACCAAACACTTCCAAAGCAAAGATGCTTAGGGAGCACATAAGGCACTGTTTAAGCTTTAAGATACTGGGGGGTTTTGTGGTTTGGGTTTTTTTTGTGTGGGGGTGGAAACAGTCTAACAAAGATGTTCTTCATTAAAAATTTTTGAGCTTTACAATGTTCCTGGCATGAGACACAAAATTCATTTTAAATCTTTGTTTTAATGATGATTCAATTTAAAATTCAGACATTGAAATACAGTCATTCAATTTTATGCTGGATGAACTTAGAGAAAAACTACATTAGAATAAAGCCTGATATTAAGACTAACACTGACTATACAACTGCTGGAGAAGTACACAAACTCAGCCCAAAATTTAAACAGAATTCCTCCTTTCTTTACCTCGACATCTACACAAATAAATTATTTCAGAATATATGTTAATGTTTCCATTGTCCTTGAACCCAACGAAACACTAAACAGTACATTGAAACGATGGATCACAATTACTAGATAATGCATAAATATTTGTATCTGATCAGACATTTGGTGTAACCAGTATCCTCCTTTCCATAATTATGTTCGTGAGACACCAAAATCTTTCAGTCCCTTTATTATTTGCTACGTTTCATTCTGCTGTGGGCCAGTCCCCAAATATTTCTCAAGATCCATATGAAACCTCTTCTCTCTGTAGGTCTTGAACATCAAAACACAATGGATCCCTCCTCTGCTGGAACTAGCACTAGTCCCACCAATACGTAGTGCCAAATCAAGCAAAGGCCTTTCATAGAGGGGACGTGATTCTGTTTACGGTGAAGGAACTGACTGACTCCAACCAACTTAACACTCTGAAAATGCACCCTGTTATCGAAGGGACAGAATGCCCCAAGGATGACAACTACCCCTCTACACCCAACCTGGCCACAGGTCAGCAAAGAAGGCGTAACTGTTTGTCTCCTCCTCAGCCAACTTCCCAGGAAGTCTTAGCATAAGCTCTCCTCACTGCCTGTTTTCATTTTGACCTAGCCTGACAGTCCCCTCTTATTATTAGAGCTAATCAAGTCCTGCTGAAAACCATTAGGTGGCAGCATCCATTCATTAGTGTGTCCGAAGTGGCACATTTATAAATTAGAATTCAAAATCAACCATGCGTACCACTAGGAATTCTTTTTAACTGTCTGCATACAGGGCCTGAATGTCAGCCGACAGCCAGATTTTGAATGTTTATCAGCAAGGACTTACACTAGAATGAACAATGTTTTTTTTTCCTTTTTATAATTCCCAATGGGTCCTTTGTTTTCTTTAATTACAGTTAAAAGAATGGCACAACTACTGAGTCTAATTAGCATGCAGATAATGCAATCATCTCAGCAAAATCACCCTGAAATAATGCTTGACTTAGAAAACTAATACAACATTCAAAAGGCTTTTAATATTTATTAGAGAAATTCAGGATATCCTTCCCCGTTTGTTGTTTGCATTATTAAAATAGCTAGCACTTTAGCTGATCTTATGCCCCAAATATTACCAAAAATCATAGAACGCTTTGGGTTGGAAGGGGCCTTTAGAGACCATCTAGCCCAACCCCCCTGCAGTGAGCAGGGACATCTTTAACTGGATCAGGTTGCTCAGAGCCCCATCCAGCCTGACCTTGAATGTGTCTAGGGATGGGGCCTCCACTACCTCTCTGGGCAACCTGTTCCAGTGCTTCACCACCCTCACTGTAAAAAATTTCTTCCTTATATCTAGTCTAAATCTATTCTCCTTTGGTTTAAATCTTGTCAGTTAAACTACCATACAATGTTCTAGGTCTTCAATCAAAAATAAAGTCCTCAGAAAAATATATATACCCACTAAAATCCTGGTTTACATATATGCAATTTATTTCCACCTGCAAACAAGTTGGAAAAAAAAAAAAAAAAGAAAAAGAAACCTTACCAATCTTAACGAAAATCACTGCCATTGCTTGGGATATTTATAGTGAAAGCAGGTACTTAAGCAGACTACATTAGAAGCATCACAATACAGTTCCCCAATATTGCACAGAGCAAAAAAATTTTCTACAAACAAGAGAGAGATAGAGATATTGTGGCCACAAGAAACATGCTGTTGAGTGTAAGTTTACATCACATTTCATTTTAAATAATCTTCATTACTCTGTTCCATGAGAATGTATTCTTATTACAACAGGAATATTTTTCTATTTGTCACATGGTTCTACAGCACTTACACAGGCCATTGCCAGGATATCTGAACAGCTTCTTGCTGTTTGTCATCTGAGCTGCAAAAGCATCAAAACTGCCCAACTATTCCAAATGAGAAATGAAAAACTGTGCATCCAAATTTTACTGCTAAAATTAAGGACATTATTATTAAGAGAGAGATTAAAATTGCCTTTATCAACAAACCAGGGAAACACAAGTGTGGTGAAGAATCACTTCTAACATACATGTACCTATGGAAGTGACTGACACCATCAACTTATCTTTTATGGAGAGTTTGAGGGGAAAAAAAAATCTGGAGCTGGGGAAGACATTTTTCCTTCACTGCTGTGACACTTAAGAGATGTAAACAATTACCTTGATATATCCCAATGGAGACAATACAGTCATGAAAAAAATGCTCCATGGATCATCAAATGCCAAGTCAGACAGAAAATTTGTGATTCTTGAGTTCACCTCCTGTAAGCTGAATACATTGAGATTACTCACACTGTACCACCTGGTTTTGACAGAATTCATATCACCTTTTCGGAAAACAGACCACAACATCCTAACAGACCTCTCTGAGTGCAAGTCAGAAACTTCTTGCTGTTCAGTTTCTCATTTACAAGCAGTTTAACCCATCCACATATCTACACATCTAACACTGAGAAAAGCAAAGTTAAAGGAGCTTACGTACCCCCAAAGAGAGTTTAAGACAATGCTAGACTCGAGCTATGTTATGACAAATAACCTGACTGTCAGGTCTTTAAAATTTCAAGAAAGTTTGGAAAACTTGATGGTAGATTGTGCCTAATAAGCTTGCACCAATTTCTTTGAAACACACTGAATTTTGGATAACTTTCATATCAAAAGGAATACATCTCTACGTGCCAACAAATAAAACAGCAGCCAAAACCTTTTTGTACGTTTAGAAAAAAGATATTCTGTATTTTGTCACAAAACAACAGCAGAAAGAAGATTCTCTTGCTATAAATCATCTCTGTTTTAAGTCACTAACTCTAGTTAGACTTAACCTTCTGTTAGCAATAATGTTAAACCACCTCCCAGGCAGCGATCCACATAGCACAGTCCTCCCGCAACAGACTGTAAGCTGTTGAGACTTAGCAGTGTTGCAATAAACTTACAAAGCAAGTTCTCTAACATATACTTACCCTATAACATACATATCCATAGTTGGGCCCAGGGAATTGAGCTGAAGTAAACTAGTGACATCAGGAGGCGGAGAAGCTGTGCCCACATTCCAGGTAACTAAGTGTAGTCTGCAAACAAACAAAACCAACACAAAACCAATGCTAAAATTGACACGTGAACAGGTAGCCAACCCTAAGAGAATCTTATTTCCCACAGAATTTCCATCTGCAGAAAACAAAAGATTTTCTGTCACTTTTTATCAATCAGAAATCTATTTATTAGCTAGCATTAAAAAAAAACCCAACACAAAAGCAATCAACTAGAGGGAACAAAACCTGAATTCTTGCCGCTTATCCTTCAGCTTTTTCCCCCAGATAAGGAAAGCTTCATCTAGAGTGCGAGACACTTCTTCATGAATTTCGTCATCCGAACTGATGTCCTCTACACAAGCCATAAGCTGGGCTACCCGATGACGGAGCTGCAAGCGGCCACTGGACCCTGTGCTGCTGAAACTTGCAGAACGGCTGCGGAAGTTGTGCAGGCTTTCTAAATCATTTAGGGAGAGGGCGGCTGAATCTTGAAATGCATCTTCACTACTGAAGGATGCCATTTGCTCAAAAGAAAAGAATTACTACAATCTGAAGGACTAGCCCATTAAAATCCTAAGTATAAAAGAAACAGATGACTAAGGGTGTTCCAGATCAAGTTTTCACTCATGTGAAATTCAGCATTGCTTCTAACGCGAAAGGACAAATGTAGATGCAGCAATGCTGAAAAGAACTGTAGCATTACCATCACACTCAATGGGTTGTTACAAAAGCTGCAATCACATCCTACCTCACACAGTGAATTGTTTCTTCAGGATAGATTTAACGTGGTTAATTCTATAAGCTCAAGATTTAAAAGAATTTATTGTTTATTTGGATCAATCATGTGCCTCCATCTGTAGACTATTAGAAATATAATCTCCAGCTCCCAAACATACAAATACACAGTTCTGACCAAAACCAAGCAAAGCTACTGCTCCTCTCGAGCACGGTCACAAACATTTGCATGTGTCACAGGACATGTCTATTGTTTCTTTATAAGATGGTAATTTCAATATCAGAGCTTCTAAAAAGAGATTCACTTTACTGTCAGTCTTGTTACACATCAGACAGACTTCAACAATAAAAAGCCATTAATTTTTCATCCATCTTAGGGTCCTATAAGGACCTTATAAACACTGATAGTTAAATAGTGAATCCCACCAATACATCCATTATTAGGGCCATATTTTTATCCCTTAATCAACTGCCTGCTCAAGGTAACACACAATTTATGTGAAAGAGCTGGAAAGTGACCTTGCATACCAGACTAAAATGATCCATAATTTCTCTCACCAACAGTTTCTCTTTGTAAGACTACACTGAAGTCAGCCAAAAGCTATTCTAAAACAAATTTCGGGGGGAAAAAAAAAGGGGGGGAAGGTATGTATGCTGCAGATCTAATTCTGCCATCAGAGATGTATCATTTGGGAACACTCTCCAGTTACTAATTTCGTAAGACAATTATCTGATTAAATAAAACTGAAATAAAATTGAAGTCATCAGTCATTACTGACAGAAATTAAATTTCTCAAAGTGCCCAGCAGCCACACTGCTGATAAGAACACAGGAGAGGCTGCAGTGCTAGAATTTACACCAAAAGAAAAAATAGTTGTGAAAATTTCAAGAACATCCTTAATAATGCAGTTGCACTGTAGGTTATGACTATATCTGCAGAAAAAACTTAATAGTGAGGAATGCACATGCACGTGCAAAGCAAACCACCTACAGCATTATGCAGTCCCAAAGGTCTACTGATGCTCCCAATTACTTCAGATGGCCGTACAAGTAGTGCCCACAGCGCGGAGGGGCGACCGGGGTGACACCAAGTTGCATCTGATGCCACAAAGACGGCCTTCACCAAAGGGAGGAGGATACTGCTCAAACTATTCTGGAAGCTTTGAGTACTACCGGAGTACAGCCTCAAGTATGCTTTCTGCAAACACATTCCTAAATACAAGCAAACTAATGGAGACGTTATTTAGCGTCACTGACTCATGAAATGATGCGATAGCAGAGAATTTTTTAGGGTCATAGTGTTTATAATACTGCGTTAAGATGACTTTCAAGACCTTTGAGCAAATGTTAGTGTTGTTTTTATTCTTCCTGTTAGACAGCTACTCGACTACCTTTTAAGTAGACTTCTCTAGTGAACCAAGCCCACAGCGTGCGACACCGCAACTTATCGCCACAGAAGACACAACATTAAGATGCAATGTAAAAACACCGCAAAGAGCAGAAACGAAAGACTTATTCAAGCTCCTTCCTTCTCACAAGCAGGGAATTTGAGGCACTAGATGCGTTAATAGCGAGCGCAGTAGCTCTCGCCCTCGTTAGAGGTAAGCAGGTCTCTGGGAAGTCCTGAGGACCCCAACAACACTCCATAAGGCTTCCTGGAACCCCTCGAGTACGGACCCCAACAATACTCCAGAAGCCTTCCTGAACCCCCCGAGCACGGACCCCAACAACACTCCAGAAGCCTTCTGGAACCCCTCAAGTACAGACCCCAACAACACTCCAGCTCTTGCCCTCGTTAGAGGTAAGCAGGTCTCTGGGAAGTCCTGAGGACCCCAACAACACTCCATAAGGCTTCCTGGAACCCCTCGAGTACGGACCCCAACAATACTCCAGAAGCCTTCCTGAACCCCCCGAGCACGGACCCCAACAACACTCCAGAAGCCTTCTGGAACCCCTCAAGTACAGACCCCAACAACACTCCAGAAGCCTTCTGGAACCCCTCAAGTACAGACCCCAACAATACTCCAGAAGCCTTCTGGAACCCCTCGAGTACCGACGCTTTCAAATCCGAAAATCAGCTTTTCTTCTCCATTTCACATGACTACGTAACACCGCCAATTAGTCTAACTCCCCGTTAATAAGCAGAAACACAAGTTTCGCTAATTCTCCGCTAATTACGTAACGACTTAGCTACTTTTCTCCCGTTCTCGGCAAAGCCGCCCTCAG